TTAACCTGTCTCAATGTTTGAATTCTAGTAGGTAGTCTCAATGGCTTTCATGGTTCTTGACTGCGCTTTCCCAAGTTTGCAGAAAATTCTGAATCAAGGAGGAAGCCTGCACAGGAGCTTGCAGTGTGAGTGGCAGTTGACCGGTGGGCACGAAGGGGGGTTCCCTAAGACGGGTAAGATTTTCCCTTGGCCAAAGCGGAAAACAACCTAAGGCATGGGACCCCTCGTAAACCCCGGGGCATCTACCCGAAAAGGGGGATGTTTAATGTGAAAGATGGTGCTGGACTGGGGTGATGCTCTATCGGCCTAAAGCATCCTTAGAGGGGAACTGTTTGAAGTTACAGTAGTCTGCCTCAGTGGCCCCGTCCAGACCTGATCACGAGAATCCTGCCTTCAGTGAGGACATGTCTGTCCTTGTGACAAGCATCAACGGACTATGCCAGGGTATGATACCCTGAAGGACATGATTGGTAAAAAGATAATGGCAATGGGCTTTCAAGAACCATTGGAGACAGTAAAGTTTCTTAAAATGTTACCAATATCAATGTGGTTGGCTGCTTTAACAGCACTGGATATATAAGGTCTGATTTTTAAGAATGTTGAATTCCTGAATGTGAAGCTGAGATGATTTTTAAATAATGTGTCTGATTTTTCATAGTATTTTACTGATGCAGGTCCTTATTCATGGCAAAGGACATTTTCAAGATGGTGCTGGCTAAAGATAAAAACTGGCTGTGAGATGGTTTGGATAACACAGCTGAATGGAATTAAGCAGTTAAGGTAAAATAATTACAAGAAATTCTCTTAGTCTTTAAATAGTTCTAACTGAGTTTTGAGAGATAAAAACGTTTGACATTTGGAACGTTGGTGAATGATTAAAGATTCTGAATTGTAATAATTTTAATGTTATAGTCTAAGACTATTGAAAATTTATGTGCATAAAACAGAGAGACAGAGACTGTTTGAGTGAAGCCATGAGTTGTGTTTTGTTTCTGTTATCGACTTGCTTAGCAACGATATTAAGAAAACAAAATGCACCAGCTGATTGTCTCAGAAAAGACATTGATTATGAACAGAAACTTTGAAACTTGATAAAAGATCATGTAAATCCAGTTGAAACTGGACAGAGAATTTTAAGAATAAATTTGTGCGAGTTCAACACCTGAAGCAAACTTAGTGATGAGCTGTCACAGTATTCATATCTATGGTACAATAATGCTTTTTTTCCTGAGGGAATGATTTGTCCCTGTTGTATGAATATTGTCACTAACCTCTGGAATGAGTGTTATATTATTACAGATTGTATAAGCGAAATGCCAGACATTGCAGAAGTCAATAATACTGAGTGAATCTGATGAAAAGATGATGCAGACCATTTGATGAGCTTTAAATGGATGGGTTATCCAGCTCTGTTTGCAATCGTTAATAATGACTTCTTTTCCTGGTTCAGATTACTCTCTGGAATAATAATAATTTTAAAACAAGTTTTATTAGCTTATAGCTGTGAAATTGAAGACTGCCATCCATTTCAGGTTACAAACCCATGTCTAAATTGTCTGAGAAGTTTAAAGGTTAAATACAGTTAATTCTTTGCTATCTGAATATTAATGTTAAATATTTTAGACTTGATGGCATTTAAACAGTGACATTGGCTAAGTCACTAACCACAATAGTCCAGAAAGCATCCTCACTCTAGCATAGGAAAAATAAGCAGAGAATTGAGTTGAAGTCATTTGTGTTAAAGGCAAATGCTGCAGTAAATCACTCTGTCTGTGTGTGTGTGTCCTCAATGGTAGAGGAACATAATTGTTTGGATGTTGTGTAGAACAGAGAGATAAAGTTGAATGAAAGTATTTGCATCTGATGGTTGAATACAGTAAGAAGTATTTATACTGCTGCAGCGAAAATTAACATTTTAGGAAACAAAAATGCAGCTTGAACTTTAACAGCATTTTAAGCAGTCAACTCAACTCAAGTCAATATTATTATTGTGAATACTGACAAGTTTTACAGTAACTTAGACTGTCTTTAAATGAAAATTTAGTAGTCCATATCCAAGCAAGAGTCTTGATTATATGTGGTAAAAGAGTTGTTAACTCAGTCTGTTCTTGTTCAATTGGTAATGCTTTCAAACAGGTTTTACTGTCAAATGACAGGTATGAAAGATTTTCAAATAATCAAAAGTTTGAGCAAATAGCTAACCTGTGAGCATTTCTAATTGACCAGACAGTAAGAATCAAATGAATTTTATACAAGATCATACTGTTTGCTTCTGATTATGTTGAATGGTTTAGTCAGAGTAAAGTAAATGGTACAAATGACAAGTTGAGAAGATAATTATAAGGTTTAGTCTTATTTTTGTTAAAAGATGCTTGAGTTTGAATTACTCAGGTTTGATCTTTGTTGAATTTGACTAAGATTTTGTTAAACCCCTAAAACGTGGGAACAAAAGAAATGGATTCACAATCCCTCTTATTGCATGTTAATGACTTGGATTAATAGTTTGTAAAAACCATTACATCTTTCTTGGTCTTGAGGTAACAGGTAATATCTATATCTAGTCTCTTTGAGGTGACTGAGGGTCTGGCTCAATTCATTTAGCCCGGCTTCCAGAGAGTGGATTTGATATTAGTTTGTTAACTGTGAAGGTGAATTTGGCTCATTATGGCCAGGACAAGGGTGCTTGTACACTTCCTATCAATAATACAGAGGAATGTGTAGCATCACTCCAATCACATCATTATTTAAATAAAAATATATTTTAAGTGGACTTGACTGACATGAAGTTCAGCAAGGTGATAATCATGGATAAACATGGTAATGGTGCTGAATTGGACTATTGTGCTGTTGGCATGTTTAATGTGTGTTAATGTAAAAATGCTTCATTATTCTAATTTGAAGTTACAGAACACGCTGATGAAGGTTTTAAAACTGGTGAAGATAAAGATGTTTTTGCAGGTCATGAATTTGAATCCTGTGTGGCTTAGGTCGAGTGGGTGACCTTTTGTGTCTGATCAGAGGATCTCTGAGCCTTAGAATTGGCCTGGATGTTTGGATTTAGAGTTGGAGCAAGTTGTAGATGCATCAGAGGAAGTATCGATGGAAATTATGAGTTGTTTACTTCTGGAGGACTTTTAGGGCTTGCACATTTGTGTTCACATTCTGGACTTTGGTCCGCTTTTGTTTTTTGTATGTTTTCACTTCTGCTTGCAGGACCCTTAATCCCACCGATGATGAGAAACGTGAACTCCTTTTGTGGGTGGAGAGTGGAAGAGTCCTTAGCTTGGGGACTGGAATTTTTAGGTTCCAGCTTGTCCAAGAAGGGGCGAAGAAACTCTGCGAACTTATTAAGGGAGCATGAGTCATTACTTTCACTCTCCTTAGTGACCTCACTGGTTGACCGGAAGCAGAGTTTGGACTCCATTCGGGTCAAAAGGGGGGACTGAAGGATTCGGATTTCTGCTTTCCAATCCGTCTCATCATGGACCAACGTTTATCCTTTTCATCATCCTGTTTCTTAGTATTTAACTGTGAATTGATTTTAATTAATGAATAAGTTAACACATTGCTTAATATAAGAATGTTCAGTGCATTTGCCTGTCTCTTTATACCTATTTTCAGGAGCCAGCAAATTAGGTCAGAGGTCATGGAAATCTTGAGTGGAACTGAGGACTGGAAACAACTGTTTCTATTGTTATTTCTAGGAGTTAATATTGTCTAAAAAGTCTAAAGTGATTTTGCTATAGATTTACGGTTAAATCTTTTAAAGTGATTCTACTTTTTATTCAAGATAGACTTTTTGTAGTAAGAATATAACTGCCTGAATGTAGATTATACCAGTTTTTAACCAGTTTTGATAAAGACGGCTGACGGTACACTCAGCCTTGGATAAGAAACAGATTATACTTTAAGTGTGTGTGTTCTATTTGATTGTTGATCCGTTTCACAGGTCTGGAGTCAGCTCTAATCAGTCTAAAGGATGTCTGACGTTTATGTTTAGATATTGTTCAGAATTGTACGCACGAACCTCACGTGGAAATGTTCTTAGTTTATCTGTGTTTTAACCAATCAGGTTAGAACACCTATATGTATGACGCAGTTAATGACGTTATGTGAGAGTATAATTGTTATTGATTGGTGATTGTAAGCAGAGCGGCCTAGGAACTCATTGAGAGTGTTGAAGCTGGCTTCTGCAAATGAAACTGCAAACTATCTTCAGTAAACTTAATTTATTTTTTTTAAATCTCTGACTCCGGCTCTTCTTCATCAACCAGACTGGTCATTCTTTGGGTTAAACTGTAAACTATCCCTACAATATCTCTTTCTCTTTTTTTAAATGACAAGTTTAACATTGGTAAAGTTGATTTATTATGGAGACAATGGCATAAATAATCAAAAATATACATTTGTTGGCTTTTGGTTTAAATTGGTTGAGTATAATGTATCATGTAAAATCATATGTTGCTGTGTTATTATCATGAGGAATTGTGTAATTGTTTTTAGTTCTTTAATTTAGTTTAGAGAACGTCAAGCAGCTATTGTAAATTGTATCTCTTAGCAATACGTAAATATTCAATTTAAGAAAAAGTTTCCTCGAGACGGATTGTTGGTAATTTGGACGGATGTCGGCTCAATTGGGAAGCTTTACTAGGACAGAGAAAAATTAATACCTGTTTAAAATGATTTAATATAAGACAATATTTTAGTGAATTTAATACTTTTTAAGGCCTAAAATTTTGTTTTTGAAATTTAAGACATTTTAAGACTTTAAGAACCTGCAGGGGATCCTGATAGTAATATTTCCCTACTATGGAAGTGGATGGTTACAGGTTTCAGCATTCTTAATATATCTTCTTATGGGTTCAACATAAAAAAGAAACTCAAAAATGTTTAAAACCATTAAGGGTGATTAAATTTTTATTTTTAGGTGAACAACCCCTTTAATAATACCATGTGTGAATGACTAAGATGCAGCAGAGATGCACAATATCATGACTCACTCTCGGATCTTCTTCTCGGTGCCGTCACTGCCTGGATCATAGACACCTTTGGGAAGATGCTGGATGAGGCCAATCCGTTGAGCGATCCGCACCTGCTCCTCTTCAGTAAGTTGGGTCGCCAGTCGGGCCTGGCTAGGAGTCGGGTGATACACCGGCACATGGATCTGCTCCTGAAAACATACAGAGATGATATCAGAAGATTTAACAGTGGTTTGAGATGCACTCAGTAATGCGCAAATCCCTATATGGCCAAGCTGATCCAGAACTGAGTGTACAGCAATGCAATGTTAAATACAGATATGAGTAAACATCTTCTTTATATTTGAGGTGCAATTAAAGCTCCACTAGGTGGCAGTATCTCCCTTTTAGAACCAAACTGATGCAAGAGGCCCAAAAATGGGAGCATATTGAGTCCAAAGGGTGCTTCTGAAGAGAGAGAGGTGCACAATAGCACCCATTGAGACAGGTGCCTGCTCAGCATTCACTAGTCAAAGCCGTTTTGAGAGTCTGAGAGCATGTTTAAGCTCTGTGTGCTAAACACTCGACTAAAACAAACACAAATAGGGTATTAAAAGGCTGTCATTGAAACAAATAAATGTTATAGTGTTACTTTTAGCAGAAGATTAATTGTACATAAGCTGTTTTTTATATATATTTTAAGGGCTGTTTTTGCTTTATATTGGTAAATTAAGCCACAACATTCTAGCACCTTCCTGTTGGATGAACAAACATAAATATCTGTCAGGCAGGTTCTTAAGGAGTTAAAGGATACAACATATAAATATATAACACAAATAATAATTATTAAAAAATTAAATGTATAAATTGATTTGCAAATACAAAAAAATACTGTATACACACTATTATTTACATTACATTAAGCATCCATAACAAATAGAAAAGATGCATGTATTTGAAATATGCAAAAAGGGAAACCTCATAATTAAAATAGTTGATATAACATAGATTTGTCTTTATATGTGTGGGTATATACTATGATCTGTTTGTTATATACTAGGGCTGCAATATATTGTTTCAGCATAGATTTCGCAAAGTGCGTATCTGCAATAATCACATCGCAGGATTTACATTGTCGAGTCTGATTTACAGTTGACCAGGTGCCACAAAACATAGGATTTATAGAGTCACTGCTAAGATTAACCATAAAAAAAGAGAAGGTGGAATAAATTGTTCATTTGCATGTTTTTAAGGTTTGTGATAGAGCATTTCAAGAGAGTTTAAAACATTTGGGCACAAGAAATTATGATTTTTGGAGGTGTAACAAAAAGTAATTTGAATTTAATTATTTATAAAATATAGATGATATATTGTTGATTTACATTTACAAAAAATGTGTTTCTTACGATTTTTTTTGTAATGTTTCATGTCCAAATATCTGTGTGTCAAACCTAAAACAGGATTATTTTGCTTACCACAATGGCAGATTATTTAGCTAGTTTTAATGAAAAAATCTCACATAATTTTGACTTATTATTTATAAAAGTGAAAAAAACTAATTTATATATATTTTTAGATATGTTACTAGAGACAACGTAGGGCTGGGCAATTAATCGAAATTGACACTAGAACCTGTATTCGATCGAATTTGTCTGGGTCGATTTTTTACAATTACTTTCCCTATTGTGTGAAGTCACGTGACCCCGCAGTTACTTTGCACTACATTGACGATGATTGAAAGCTGCACTAGAGACGCATTGAAACGGCATATTTTTCTGTATAATAAACTTGTTATTTAGATTAAAATATTTGTTTACAGAAGATGCAAGAAATGCACTGTTTAAAATATTGTTTAAAGGAATTGCAAGAGTTATTTTACTTAAGACATGCTGCTTATTTTACCCTTTTAATATTTTTTGGAAAAACATAAAATATTGCATATATATATATATATATATATATATAGAGAGAGAGAGAGAGAGAGAGAGAGAGAGATCATTATAAAAAAACTCCATTTTGAAATTCAATATTTTTATTCATTTCTCAGTGAACATGGCTAATATATGTTAGTCCATTTGAACAAAACAGATTTATTAAACAAATATATCTGTTAAAAGAACATTTTAGTCACAGTACATGTTTAGAAATAGAAATAAAATACATTTAAATTCATCAAAATATTGCAAAAACTTAGAAACTGCTAAATGTAAACAATTTCTTTTTTAATTTTTATTGTTTTACAAACAAGAGCTGGGCGATTTGGCCAAAAATCACAATCTCAATTAGAAGAAAATTTTAACTCTATTATGATTATTAAACAACTATTTAATGGGGTTTGCCATAGGCAAAGTCCATTCTTACTATGCTCTTTTGCTTATTATTATTTTTTTCTTCTTCTTCCTTCTTCCGTACCATTTTTCGGCGCGCAACTCGTCCCGCAGCTTTCGCCCCAGACCCTTGAAAGTGGGGTCAAATCGTGCGGTCTTATCGGGAATGGTGTGCTATGACTTTTATAAGGGGTGGGGGGTTTTTTGGCCCCGCAGGGGCCAAAAAACCCCCTCCAAAATCCCATTGACTTAACATTGAGCCGAACTTTGACGAATCACAGCGCCGACTGTGAATTTCCTATAAATTTGGGATTCACAACAGCTGTAGGGGGTTGCAGCCTAAGTGAGAACATACCCAGCAAGGGGGTATAAGTTGCACCTCTGGGGCTCTAGGACGTCCCAAAGTTTTCCCATTGACTTACATTGGCCCCATTGACTCCCATTCATTTTTCTAGAAGAGCACTAACGCCCCCGCGAAATGGCACAACCTTTGAAGCGTTATAGCGCCAAGTGTGAAATTCGTAGAAATATGGGATTGGCAACATCTGTAGGGGGTTGCAGCCTGTATGAGAAAATACCCCAAAAGGGGGTATAAGTTGTACCCCTGGGGTGCTAGGACGTCCCAAAGGGGTCCCCATTGACTTTACATTGCCCATTGACTCCCATTCATTTCTTGACTCACATGTCAATCACATTACATAGCAGTGTCATACAGACTTGGGGGTTGGCTTATTTGACTGAGGCAACCAATCAGCATCTCAATATGATTTTGAAGCTCACAAGCCACGCCCCCCAAACCATTTAAAGACCCTTAATAACTGCCCCATTGACTTAACATGGGGTGGGACGTCCCATTGCACATCCCATTGACTTCCATTATAAATGTCACACATCAATAACATTACATAGGAGTGTCATAGAGAAATGGGGGTGGCCTCATTTGACTCAGGCAACCAATCAGCATCACTATATTATAATGAAGCTCACAAGCCACGCACCCAAATGGGCCCCATAGACTTTTATTATAATAGGGCTAGAAGCATATCTTTGCATAGCAGTGTCATACAGACTTGGGGGTTGGCTCATTAGACTCAGACAACCAATCAGCTTTTCAATATGATAATTAAGCTCTTAAGCCACGCCCCCAAATCCATTTAAATACCCTTAATAAGTGTTCCATACACTGCCAGTTTAACGGGTCTACATGTATATCTTTGCATAACAGTGTCCTATAGACTTATGAGTTGGCTTATTGGACTCACACAACCAATGAGCTTTCCAATATGATAATGAAGCTCACAAGCCACGCCCCCAAACTGGTCCCATAGACTGCCATTATAACTGGCCTACATGCATATCTTTGCTTAGCAGTATCCTATTGACTTAGGAGTTGGCTTATTTGACTCAGACAACCAATGAGAATCTCAATATGATAATGAAGCTCACAAGCCACGCCCCCAAACTGATCCCATAGACTGCCATTATAACTGGCCTACTTGCATATCTTTGCTTAGCAGTGTCCTATTGACTTGGGGGTTGGCTCATTTGACTTGGACAGCCAACCACATTCAAGTTCACTCTGTAACCTCGCCCATAGCAACAAAACAGAGTACCCTAGCAACCATTCATCAACAGCTATATCTCAGCATCGGAACATCGTAGACACTTGGGGATTGGCTCGTTTGACTCATGCTAGCAAACGGAACTTCCTATATGCTACACATGCTAGCAGTGACTAGCTACATGCTAATATTTACTAGCCAAGTACCGTAACTTGCTAGAAATGCTTACTAAGTATAAATATTTTATCAGGCATTTATGTGAGGCTTGCCTAGTAACCACCCAGGTTACCCTAGCAACTGCCTAGCAACCACCCAAATTACCCTAGCAACCGCCTAGCAACCACCTAGCAACCGCCTAGTAACGCCTTAGTAAGGGCCTAGCGACCTCTCAGGACACCCTAGCAACGCCTTAGCAACCACTCAGAATACCCTAGCAACCACCTAGCAACACCTTAGCAACCACCTAGCAACCACTCAGGGCACCCTATCACTGTTGCTAGCATGATGCTAGCAACTCGATTAGCATGTTGCTAGCATCATGCTAACACGATTAGCATCATGCTAGCTACATGCTAATTATGTTAGCATGATGCTAGCAACTCAATTAGCATGATGCTAGCAACTCGATTAGCATGTTGCTAGCATGATGCTAACACGATTAGCATCATGCTAGCTACATGCTAATCATGTTAGCATGATGCTAGCAACTCGGTTAGCATGTTGCTAGCATGATGCTAACACGATTAGCATCATGCTAATTACATGCTAATCATGTCAGCATGATGCTAGCATCTCGATTAGCATGTTGCTAGCATGATGCTAACACTATTAGTATCATGATAGCTACATGCTAATCATATTAGCATGTTGTTGCTTTTTGGCCAGTACGGTGATACATTTTACCCCATCGATTTGCCACGCAAACCCCATTCACATTTCCTTTAGGAAATGTACAATTCTAGTTTATTTAATTATTGTGTTTATTTGCCCTCATAGTTCACTGACAGGTTTTGTACACTAAATATTCTCACATATTACCAGCGAGAGATTTCTGAACAAAGAGTGCATTACTGCATTTTTAATCTGTGGTTATTTATTGAAATTAATCAACATTGAGCTGAAATTAAAACACATTGCCTGAAACGAATAGTTAATTTTTCTTATAAAAAAAGTGAAAATAAATAACGTGCACTTATGGAAACAAGTTATTTTCAGTGTTTTTCCTATTAAAAGGATATAATAAGCAGCATCTCTTCTAAATAAAATAGCTCTTGTATTTCCAGTAAATAATATTTTAAACAGTGCATTTCTTGTATCTTCCAT